ATGGGAAGGCATGCATCGTTGGAAAAAACAATCATGGTGGAAAAGTAGTAGAAAGAGAGGAAGGCCACATGCTAGATGGATGGATTTTATTAAAGAGACCATGAATATGAGTTTGCAGGAACTGGGCAGAGGAAGAAGTAGAGAACAGGGGGATCTGGAGATGTCGCAACCATAGGGTCGCCATGGGTCAAGATCTATGTGAAGGCAGTTAACAACAATACCTTATGGGAATGACTGTTATTTGCCTAATCTCTGTACAACAGAGGTGCACAAACTGTTGTCCAGGAGTTTCATGTGTCCCCGTCCATGGCTGTTTTTGTAGTGTACAATACCTCCAGACTCCCCAGATAGCCTTTTCCAGCCAAAAAGGGGAGAGAAAAAAAAAGGGGGGGGGAATGGGGAAACTCCAGGAGTAGCAACTCACTGTTTAAACCGGTTGTGAGCCCAACCCCCAGAAGGGTAACATCAACAAAAAGCCATGTTTCATGGACTTTCTGCTATTTCTGGGGGGCTTGTTTTATGATTTGGAGGTACATACATCCCAGAGGGTCATATGGTTATAATAGTGACCTTGGGAACCATCATATTTGTCTGCCTGCTGTACAAGGATCCAGCTGTGCTAAATATGCAAATAACTAAAGACCATCAACAGGTCAAATCTTTCAGGTATTAAGGAGAATAGACACAGGGAATCTGTGATATTCTGAATGTTTTGCCCACCATTCATGTCAGCCACACCTGTCATGGCCAATAGTAAAAAACTGTGAGACCTGTAGTCCAAAAACATCTGGAAGAGCAAAGACTCCTTATTTTAGAGATGGGGGGGAACTCACCTGGGACATGTTCCCCTTCCTGTAGCTCCCAACGAGGACAAACACAGGTCCCATCCTGCTGTTATTCTTCACAGGGCCTTTCTCACTTACCTAGCCAGGGCTGCCTGCAGCTCAGCCTCCTTCCTTGCCAGTGCTTGGCGGAGTTCCTCCAGCTGTTGCTGCAGCTCTACCACCTGCTCCTGCAGGTCACCTGCCTCCCCATCAAGTTTGCGCTTCAGCTTCTCCAGCTCCTGGCGCCCCTTTTCTTCCTTCTTTAAACGATCTGGAGGGTGGAATGGTGGGGAACAAACAGGAAACTCAGACTATGGAACAGAACACATCTGTCCCAGTCTTGGGAGAGACTTCAAGACCACATAAATACATGGAATACACAATCCATAAATCCATAAAGCTATCTTATAACAGATCTGACATTCATCCTTCTAAACTCAGTACTGGTCTATTCTATAAATTAGGAAGTTGTGGTCTTTTAATGGTGATGCTGAACTCTTACTTCCCTTCAACCCAACCCAACTCAGACAATGGTGAAGCATGATAGGAGTAGTAGTTCAATATCTGGAGAACAAAAGGTTTCCTGTCCTTGATCTATGCCAGATGACAGGTGCACTTCTGGATCTCCAGAAAGGGTCCATTCTGCAGTCTTCCTAACAGAGAACCTTTGAATAGAAAATCACCTGATAGCTAAAGCTTTTTTAAATAATAATAATAATAATAATAATAATAAATCCCACCCCTCTGCATAACACAACCGGAGCAGCTTACAACTTTAAAATATACATCATGTACATGCCTCACCACTAAACTACAGGCCCCAGCTTGGAAATGTTACTTTTTTATACTACAGCTCTCAGAATCCCCAAGCAGCATGCTGTGTGGAAAATTCTGGTAACTGAACCTTTCCATGCTGAAGCTATGGTCCCACTCAACTCATTCTCCATGTCCTGCATGGTGACTGGGGCTGAAAGGCAGTCAGACAGTATGCTAGAGAGGGGAGAATAGTTGTGCGGGGGAACACTGCCTCCTCCACCATGGCAATTTCTACTAAACAGCTTGCAATTTCTGTTTCAAGAGAAAGTAAACTACCCAATGTCAGAACTACCAGGGGAAAAATGTGGGCATAGCCCCATTTCTTGGCGCACCTTCCATGTCAGCAATGACTGCTTCGTATTTATTGCGCAGCTTGGAAAGGCTTTTCACTTTCTCCTCCTCCTCTGCCATGTGAGAAGTGAACTCCGAGAGACGTTCTTCCATCAGCTTCCTCTCCTGGTAGAGGCAACAGTTAGAGAGATAAATGAGCATAGTAAATACCCTAAAGGCACCAGATCCTGTCTGATCTTGGAAACTAAGCAAGGTCAGCTCTGCTTAGTACCTGGATGGGAGGCTGTCAATAAATGCCAGGAGCTGTAGGCTATATTTCAGATTAAAGAACTGGCAAAACCACCTCTGAATATTCCTTGCCTAAGAAAACCCTATGAAATTCATGGGGTCGCCATAAATTGACAGGCGACTTGAAGACACATATGCACACAAGGCTGAAGGGCAGAGGAGGGAATGGTAAATTAAACTTCAGTTGCTTTCTTCGTTTCCCCAGGAAACCTAGGAGGCATGGCTCCTAGGCTGGAATGCTGTTGCGCCATAACACCTGCATAACGCCCTTATGCAAGCATTTCCCTATTCTTGCAGTACAACAGGAGATATGAAAAGCTGGTCCAGTTGGTGGCCACTGGACAAGCCAACAGAATGGACACTGGAATGTCACCCCAACAGTATTCCATTAACCCTCTCCTAATGCCCCTAAATGCTCCTTTCAGCTTCAGCTCTCCCCGTGTGAAGCTCTCTATGGTTGGAGATTTACAGAGGCCTGTAGGGTATACTAGGCCCTCCTCACAAGCAGTTCAGATCCAAGGTAGACAACTGTAGGGCCACAGAGGGCTCAGGCAGCAAAGGAAGGAGGTAGGTGGGTGTTTCTCCCCAGGCTTTGTGGCCTGCTCATGGTTTAGATAGGGGTTCCCAACCTGTGCTCCAAGGAGTCCTTAGGGCTCTGCATGTGGCCACTCCAGAAAAATGAAAGAAATAAAAATTGAATGAAATTAAAGTATAAGAACATATTTTTATATATACTTCTAAACGCCATTAACTTGTAAGACATGGGGTAGGCCTCTTGGGAGCTCCACCATAGAAATAAGGGCTCTGTGAGTCGAAAAGATTGGGAACCCCTGGTTTAGATAACCATCTAAACCATGTGGCTCATGGAATGATACCAGTCCATGCACCACTGGCTGCCAAATAGCAAAGAGTTTTCAGGAGAGAAAGAAGCAGTTGCAGTTAATGGGGACAAACATATTACTTTATTACCCTGGTACTTTAGGGGAGGGGAACTGCCAATCTACCACATCAGATTTCCTTAGAAGTACTAGTTTAATGACCAAAAGATTTGCTCTTTAAAAAGGATGGGCTGCAGCATTTAAGCACCACCTCTGAGCATGCACTCTCTTTATTCTGTCATTCAGAGATGGTGGTGAAACAAAGGAGAGGTTCACACTCACTTTGTGCAACTTCGAGTTTTGATCTTCGAGCACCAGCAGGTCCTCCTCCATTTTTTTTAGCTTGGCTTCTGTGCTCACTTTCTCTAGCTGAAGCTTCTGCCGGGCAGCCTCCTCCTCTTCCAACTGCTCTTCAAGGTCCTAGAAGGAAGAACAGAAAAGTCAGAAAGTGTCAAAGATTCCCCAAAGCATGGTAGTTAAGTCCAACACATTTTGAGAGTACCAGATTTCGAGAGTGCGTCTTGTAATTGTGGTGTCAGTGTTACCAGTACCTAGTAACTTTACGGTTAAAGAGCCAGACAGGCAGAGCATGCTAAACTTAAATTCCAATCCACTGGAAAGAGAACATGGATTGGGTACTGGATCAGGACCAGGGGGACCTGGGTTCAAATTCTCACATAGTCACAAATCTCACTGGGTGACCTTGGATCCCTCTATCTCTCAGTCTAACTTTGAAAGACAGTTGTGAGGATAAAAGCCACAAGGACCATGTGCATTACCCCAAGTACTCTGGAAGATGTTTAGAATAAAAATGTATTCAAGATCCCTTAAAAGCTTATTTGAACAAAAATACAGTTACCTGTTTCCTTTTTCTAAAAGAAAAAAAGAAAAAGAAGAAAAAGGAATGCATTCTACTTTAGAAATGGAAGAGCTACCAGGCACTCCAGCTGAAGTTTCCTTTGCTGTCTCCTTAACAAAAGGAATTTTCCTTTTAAAATGGAATGAAAATTATTTTAATTTGTGAACCCCCTTGAGACTAATCTTGCAGAAAAGGTGGGGTATAAATCAATAATATTGTTTTGTGGGCCCTTAGAGGAAGGGAGCTCCAATCGTTCCACAAAATGATCGTCCTGTTAATGACCAAGGCTGGGTATACCCTACATGCACACACATTACCCGCAAGAAGAGACAATTATTGCCACAAACTTACAAAGCTCAGCAAAGCACTCTTTCACCAAGGTAATAAAAGGTGTCTTCACCTCTTAGCAACCCCTCTCACTACTCTGCCTCTCCTACCCAAGCTTCACACCTGGATGTGTTGCTGCATTTTCTTCTTGTCTCCCTGCAGCTGTTGGCATCGCTCCTCCTCTTCCTCCACCCGGGACTCCAACTCATGCAGAATATCCTCCAGCTCTTGCTTCCGAGCTGCCAGCCGGGCCCGCATCTCCTCAGCTTCAGCAAAGAGCTCTGTCTCAGCCTGCAGCTGCTCAGCCAGGATAGCCTTCTCTTCCGAAAGCTGTCAAGCAATTGAGATCAAAGAGGAAGAGGCATGAGATCCATGGATTTGAGGGTATTAGAATGCAACAAGCTACCCTGGTGCTGCTCTACCACCTCTAGTAAACCACAGAAATCAAGGACTAGTATCCGTTATATATTAATTTAATTTATATCTCACCTTTCTCCAATGCAGCTTACAACAAAGTTAAAACAAGATAGAGCTTAAAACCTAATGATAAAGAAGTTTTCCAGTTGCTTGTCGGGGGGGGGGGGCTACCTTTTGAACTACAACACCAAGAACTCTCCCCAGCAATGCTGACTGGAGAATTCTGAGAGTTGTAGTCCAAAAAAGTAAACTACCAGGCTCTAGTCTTTTCTTAGCTTTGCTTGTCAAGATCTTTAAAAACTGGTCACACTGGGGATTGAACCTGTGACCTCCTGCATGCAAGCCAGTTATTCTTCCACTGAGCAACAGACCCCTCTTATAAGATTAGTAGGTTAGTAAGAGCCTTTAAGAGTACAAGGACTGGGAGGACAGAAAAGAACAAGGGGCATAATTATCAGGTGTAAAGACAGGCACTCCAACCAAAGGAAAGATATATTTAACAGTGTGGTTTAGATGCTTGATGCACAATATAAAGAAGATATTCAAAATATTCAAGAGAAAAGGAAAGAATATGCTCCCAGCAAACAAGAGAGAGATATTAGTAGATTTATTAAGGATTGATTTGAAGGATACAGATAGCAGAAGGGAAAGTTAGCAAGGACAACACAATGTGTTGAGGTGAAAGATGACAAGAAATGCAAACAGTTTCAACTGAAAATAGAGTAGGTCTGTGTGCAGAAGATGTGCCATTAAGAGGCTATAGGCAGATAGTAGTAGATAACAAGGTTACTTGGGTCCCATTCAAGAGTTACTCTTTTGGTCATTCTAGCTGGGGGATTATGAGAGCTGTAGTCCAAAAAGATGCTTTTTTTCCAGCTCTGGTTCCACTCTTCTCACCTGCTGGTATTTGTTCTCTAGTTCCTTGAGGTCCATTTGTGTTTTTGTGTGTTTTTCTTGAACTTTTTGCAGCTCCAGAGCCTTTGCTTGCATTACCTCATCCTGGCGTGTCACCTGTAGCAGGGGCTTCACCTGAGGAAAGCAAAGAAAAGAGGATGTTAACAGAGACACTAAGAAGGAATTAGGAATCATCTAGTACAGGGCTAGGCAACCTTTCCCCTTTAAGGGCCGAGGGACTTCAGCTCCCAGAATCCCAGGAGCTATTGGCCAACATGGGACTATTGGCCAACATGGCTGAAGCTTCTGGGAGCTGAAGTCCCTTGGCCCTTAAAGGGGAAAGGTTGCCTACCCCTGATCTAGTATATTGAACCCACGGCCATAAAGGATAAGGAAGGCAACAAGAAATTGTACAGGCAAGGAACTATGCCAAGACTGTATCTTAGACATTGGTCTCAGATGGAACTAAGTTAAGGGAGTGATGAGCCCAACAATGGGGGCAACTTACCCTGCCAGTCATGAGGACTTGGTTTAATTGATTCATTTGATTTGATTCGTTTATTTGATTCATTTAAAGCAGGGGTAGGCAACCTTTCCCCTTTAAGGGCCAAGGGACTTCAGCTCCCAGAATCCCAGGAGCTATTGGCCAACATGGGACTATTGGCCAACATGGCTGAGGCTTCTGGGAGCTGAAGTCCCTCGGCCCTTAAAGGGGAAAGGTTGCCTACCCCTGATTTAAAGCACACAGGACTAGAGGACTCATAGAATAGCTTGTTTTACTGCCTTTCTCTGTCATAAAGAATACTAAGCTCCCTAAGGCTGTACACCTGAAGTTTCTTCCATCATGTTAAAGACCCATAACAAAGGAGAGACAAATATGTCCTCATCTATTGGCTAGAGAAGGAGCAACTGAAGAGAATTTATTCCCTACCAGAGTGAACACTGTAACTAAGATGCAGTGCCTAAGGTTGCTTCCCTGTCTCCCATCCAGTTACTTTTTCTCTTCTGCTTAGTCTTTTAGATTGAAAGCTTGAAGGCAAAGACTCTGGTGCAAAACCATCATGGCAAAAATGCTTTATCTCAATAATAAACAGAAAAAGAATTGACAGGCACAACACAGGCCTTTGCTTTTTGGGTCTCCAAAGTTGCTCTGTGCTCTGACAATATTCAGTACTATAGTAGAAGAAACTGAGCAAAGGAAAATTACTTTTCAGACTACAACTCCTAGAATTCCCTTGTCAAAATGGCCAGTGGCCATACTGACTGGGGAGTTTTGGGAGTTATAATCTTGAAAATTGACATTTCCAAGCCCTGGAGAGAAGCCAGAGCTATCTTCTGTGCAATCTGTTACAAGCTGGAAGAACCTTGTCACAGAAAAACGTACAGTATAAAGAAGGAATTGAAGGCACACAGCCAAGCAACAAAAAGAGAGGAGACAAGCTCCAAGTGCTCAAAGATGGTCAACTGTTTATTCAGTGTTTAAAAAGCCCAATGTGTTTTGGTCACACTAGGCCTCCTTCAGGGGCTGAAAAAAATATAAATACACTTAAAATATGATATTTAAAAAGATAGGACAACACTCATCAGTGATACAAAATTATCCATACAGATCTTATCAAGTAATACAAACCCTTTCAGAGAAATCGCTGGAGTTGAAAACCCTCTCCAAATTACAGGACCATAGAAATAAAGGGACCAGACAGTGTAGCATTTCTGTATATATACTTATTCCAGATGACTTTGAAAAGGCATAACCAATGACATTTCTTGAGACATATCATTGGTTATATTTCTCTCAAAGGGTATGTATAACTTGATAAGATCTATATGGATAATTTTGTATCACTGTTTGATGAGTGTTGTCCTATCTTTTTAAATATTATATTTTAAGTGTATTTATATTTGTTTTCCACCCCGAAGAAGACCTGGTGTGGCCGAAACGTGTTGGGCTTTTAAAACACTAAATAAACAGTTGACCATCTTAGAGCACGTGGAGCTTGTCTCCTCTCTGTTTATAGAAAAACGTACACCTGTTTTGACACACCTTGGTGAAAAGACGCCACCACTGCCAGTGGCGCAACTTGAGGTAGGCTGCACAGTTGCGCTGCATGACCTTCAGGGCGCTCATTTGCTGCTGCTTTTTCATGAAAGCCCTAAGAGAGGGAAAGAAAGAAGAACCCTCCAGTTAGCACCATATGGGTAAGCTGTGGTTAGGAAACTTAGCTAGAGCTTTGTGTACAGTCTCTGATGATGTAGCTGCTTCCCTTTTCCCTGAACAAAATGCACCAGTGGAAGAGTGTTTCTAAGTACAGGCATACCTCAGTTTACACAGCCTTTAACAAAGAAGCTCCTTTTTACAAAGGCTTCATCTGCACTGCAGAAATAATGCAGTTTGACACCACTTTAACTGCCATGGCTAAATGCTATGGAATCCTGGGATTTGTAGTTTGTTGTGACACGAGAGCTCTCTGACACAGAAGGCTAAGTATCTCACAAAACTACAAATCCAATAAAAGAATGGGTGATGCTTAAAGAGAAGAAGACTATTGGAACTTGAAAGGGGAAAGGTTAAGTTATGGCTGGGATGCCTACATAGCCTATGATAAGGATAAACAAAACAAATTATTTGAGAAGATCACTGATCAGAGTTTGGAAGAGATATAAAATGAGAATTGTTGGAAAAATACCAAAGTGGATTTCACCTCAAGAGGCCTTTTATAAGAGAGAAATGCAGATGTTAGAGAAATGGTGTAAAATATCAAGATATGATTAAGATACAGGAAGGAAAAAGAAAGATGAGGACTCAAGAAGAATTACAATAGAGGGAATTTCATAGTAATTGGTTTGTATATAGACAGCTTTGCGAGAGGTATAGGACGGAAAGGAGGAATAAAGATTTTGAGGAAGAAGGAGATGAATCAGAGCTGGGGGAGTTAATTTCAGGAAATAAACATAAAATTATAGGATTATTGTATAAAGGATTATTGAAAATAGAAATGGAGGAAGAAATTGTTAAGGACCCAATGATTAAATGGGAGAGGAGTATAGGGCAGCCATTACATTTAGAATAATGGGAAAGAACTTGGATGAAAGGCTCATATATACCACTTCTCAAAAGTGAAGAGAGAGTTACTATAAAATGTTCTTTCAGTGGTACTTATCTCCAGATAAATTAGTGGGAATTTATAGGTTGAAAGATAATAAATGCTGGAAATGCAGTGAGGAACAGGGAACCTTCTATCATTGTTGGTGGACCTGTTAGAAAGCTAAGAAATACTGGAAAGGAGTTAAAGAGTTAATTATTATCATTTTGGAGACTAAAATAAAACTAAAATGGAGCTGTTCTTGTTAGGGATGATGGAAGATAGTTTGGAAAAGAAATTTGGGGCGATATTATTTTTCATGATAGCCACAGCAAGAATAACTTACGCTCAAAAAATGGAAAACATCCTCACAACTGAGGAATGGTTATTAAAATTATATGAAACAACAGAAATTGATAGGTTAACATCCTTAAGGAAACATAACTCATTAAAACAATTTAATACAGAATGGGAAAAGGTAATACAATTTCAAGGAAATAAATGCAGAAAGATAGTTATACTTAATTTTAGTTTAGAAAAATCTCCCTTTTGTCTTATTATATTGTTAGAAAATAGAGGAGAGAATTTAGATTAAGGATAAACATAATGAAAGAAATTAATAGATTAGACCAACAAATTAATTATGAGTTATATAGAGAGATTAAATATAATATAAAATAGAGATATATAAAGAGATATGGAAAGAGGAAGATGTAGGTAAAGGGGGGATGGTCTTCCTGGTAATACAATACATGTTGTCCAAAGGAGATGGAGGATATTAGAAGGATATAGGAAGGTAACCTAGAAGAGAAGAAATAGAATACCCCAGCAGATAGGAAGGGAGGGGTATGACAGGAGAAGTATCAATGAGAAGGTATGAAAAGAGTATGAAAGGAGAGAAAGAGGGAGGGAGGGTGGATAAGAGGGGGAAGGATAGATACTTGGATGGATTATAGTATGATGGATAAAGTAAGAGAAAGTGTAGAAGGTGAGTATAAGGGTAAAGGTAGAGAACAGAGGGGGAAGTGGAAGAAAGAGAAGAGGATTGAAGGATGGAAGGGGAAGGAGAACGAGAAGGATGTGGAGAGAGGAAGTATGAAGGAGAATGGAAGTATGAAGTAGGGAGAAGGATATAGAGAGAATGGACGGGAAGGAGAGTGGGAGAAGGGAAGGAAAGAGTAGGAAGGTATTGGATAGGAGAATTAATAGGAAGGTATGGGAGGTATAAATATAAAGTTGATACAGATGGTATGATGTTGAATTTATCATCTGATTGCTGTATTTTTTTTTATATGTCTGAAATGTATGTTTGGTTTTATATGTTCAATAAACTTTAAAAAAAACAACACCCTACAAATCCAAGAATTCCGTAGCCTTGAAGTTAAAGAGATGTCAG